GAATCATCGTGTGATTAAACTGAGTCTAGTGAGACTGATTGGCATAACTTTTGTCTTGTTCTGCGCAGACCGCGACACTACTGAGCAAATGAACTCATTTAATAATTATGGTATCAGAATAAAATCCCAAATAATATTAATATTATTTAAATTGATGCATCAACTAAATAATATATTTTATAAAAATAAGTAATACCTTAAAACGGAAAGCAAAATTTGGAAGCAGGTTATAATTGCAGATAAAAATCAAGAAAAGTAATTAAATCTTTAAAACTAAGAATTGTATTCAAGATGAAACGCTACGGAGGTTAAAGCCAAAATAATAAAATTTAAGAAAATACTTAATTAAATAAAATGCTAGTTTATAATTAACACTAAAAATTTTTTAAAAAATTGTTAAATAACTTAAATTAAAATTTAAAATATAATAAATTAATATAAATTTTAAATCTGAAAAATAAAGAATATATAAAAATAAAGTTTATACTTATTAGTACTTAAATCAGAAACAGATTTAAATTTCAAAATTTTCATCATTTTTAGGTTTTGGAAGACTTGAAAAAATTAAGGAGTCAACTAGTATAAATTGCTTGTGGATGTGTTTTGTAATCGAGTGGAGTTGTGGCGGTGGTCGTATTGATTAATGGAGAATATTCTTCTGCTTTTTTAATTTGAATTACAATTTCAGAATTTTTATATCTCTTATGATCCCAATCCCAATTCCAATCATCCAATTCATTATTCAATTCGTCAAAAGTTGGTCGATGAGTAACCCGAGCATCCCAACATCTCATAATCATTCTTGTAATTAATTTTGGAGCATGAAATGGAATTTTTGACTGTAATTCATTACATATTTTCATCGCCCAATATTTATTATGTGGTATATCGTGATACGAAGGAATTCCTGTAATGATTTCATAAATTATAATTCCAAACGAATATACATCAGCTACCTTTGTATACTCTTCACGAGATAATACCTCTGGAGCTACATAAGGTAATACTCAAAAATATTATTCTTTTCAAAATTAATCAGATTTACTTAATACAAAATCTGTAATATATAGAAACCTCATAAAATTATCAAATAAAATATTTCCAGGATGAAAATCCTGGTGCACTATATTAATATCTAATTCATGAATTATTTTAAAACAAATAGCTAATAATTCAATTTCCTTTTCCATTCAATATTATTAAAATTATTTTTTAAATAATCTCTAAGATTTCCATCCTTAAAACCATCATATATTTCTGAGTTTCTGGATCTTGTGTAATTCCATAGAATCGAATTGAAACATAATTACATTTTAAATGAATTGACATCTAAAATATATTTTCTTAGTTTATTATAATTTGGCACACAATTTGCAGATTAATTAAAAATATTTTACCTCATTTAAGAAATCATCATTTAAACTTTCAAAATTATCAAACTTTTTTAATACCACTTCAACATTGACTACCTCTAATATATCATAAGATATTCATTTTATCACTTTAAATCTATCATTAGCATCTCTTGAATGAATTTGTCTATTGCGTCATTTCCACTTGTCCATTCATCAAAATCATTTTTGAAATGTTAGGAGTTACATGGTTGGCAGACAGTATTAGTATATTCTTGATTGCATTCGGGGCATATCCCATTTTTTGTTTACTTAAAACGTACTGTATAAATAAATTTATTTATCCTTTTTTTTTATAAAATTGAATTTTGTAATTATGCTTGGATGGTTCTTTGTTATAGGTTACGTTTTACATTTGTAGTGTTTCAATATTGGTACCGCACCGCACGACAATGCTTACATAAAAATATGACTGGATAGTTTAAATATATTAAATTAAATCAATTCATTCATTAATATTCTCAATGGAAAATAAATTGTTTCGTTTGCATTTAAAATTTGTGCACTTTCTATACATCATCTTTACAGAAATTATGAATTAAAAGATATTAACCACGATTATTCAACAAAAGATTATGCAGGATCTTTAATTCTGATATCTCTACATGAAAAAAAAGAGCAATTATCATTAGTTATACATTATTGTTATAGAATTCTTGATATTTAAAAAAAAGTTAAATTATTTGCAAGTTAGTAAAGTTAATAAATTATATTTTTTAATTTAATTATTTTTTATTATCATTATTATGTGTAACAAGTTCTCTTAAAAAATTTAAGAGATCTGGACGAGTCTCAATAACTGTTTGGTCAAAAGTTGCCGTTGGATGAAGAAAACTCTATCTAGAGCAAAACAGAAAAAGAAACTCTACGTAATGATCGAGTTGAAGTTAATTTCTTACTTATTGTAAAAAATATTAGTAATTTAATCATAATGAACGACGGAATGAATTTTTTTTTAAAAAATTTCAGCGAAAACTCTAGAGAAATTTGACTTAAATCACGCGAATCACGTGTATTTTATTTGTTTTTTATGTACAGTTTTTTTGTGTATATATACTTTTTACAAAAGTTTGAAACTTTTTGGTCCATACTTCGCTTCAAAAATATCAAATGTCAATTTTTCAACCTACAAAATTAAAAACAAATGAAATGAAATTCAATCTGGAACTTTTTCCCTAAACAAAAAAAAAAAAAAAGAAATATCGAATAAAATTACTTACTCCACAAACGCAATTAAATTTCATTTCTTCGTATTTTTCAGATTCATCAATCACAAGTATGAAATGGCGGTAATTTTTGCAATGGATAGATTGCATATTAACCATTGTCTTGTATAATACTTCAACATTTATATTTTCCTATTAAATGTAAAAATATAAAAAAAAATGAATTTTTTATCTTCATTTTTTTTTTTTTAAAAAAAAAAAAATTCTCAATCCGACTGCTTACTTTAGGATTAATTAGATCAGTTTTCTCAAACAAATTCAACTTTCTTTTTCTGTATAATTCTTGTAAATATTTAATTTCTTTAATGTCTCTAAAATAATTATTATTGTTTGGAAATTTATTTTTTAAAAAAAAAGGATAATGAAATAATTCACATTTTGAATTTACTAATTATTATTATTATTACTTACAGATTTTGTTTTAAAATATTAGGATGAAGCATTATATTCAAATTAACTTTATTTGTGGCTCTTTGCTAGAAAAAAAATGGAAAAAATATAAGTATTGACACTTTATAAATAACAATAATAATAGTAATAATAATAATAAAAATAACAATTATTATTATTATTTAAACTTACCCAATTTTTAATTCCACAAATCTTATCAATTTTATCAGTTAGATAAACTTTTGGAGTAGTTGTTACTAATCCACCTCCCTCTATAAATTTTATTTCAAAAAAAAATAAAATAAAATAAAATAATAATTGATTTATTAATTTATTAATAATAATTTGAGTATAAAAGTATAATAATGTACTGTATATTTTAGGTGGATAGAGACGACATTTTTTTTATTTATTATTTACTATTTACCTTGAGACCAAATTTCATAAAAATCAATAGGATTTGAACCTTCTAAATTCCATCCAAAAATATAAAATTTACATGAAGTATGTTTTAATTCAATTTGATGAGGAATGAAACAAATTTGATTTAGTTTCTCCACGTGTATCTAATATACAATAATATAGGTAGTGTAATATGGAGAGTGTTAATAATATAGAGAATGTTAATATAGAGAGTAATATTATTAAATTTCTAAAATAAAAAATAATTATTATATATATATATATATAAACATATTACCATATAATAAGAGATATCTTTTCTTTTAAGATTCTTATCATAAATTCCACCAAGATTAATAAAACATTGTATTAATTTTTGAACTTCAAAATTTTCTTCGTGTCCAAATGTTCTGAAACAAATTTCATTATTATGGTTATTATTATTGATTTGTGTTGTGTGCGAGGAAGTAAGAGAATGTTTTTTTATCATCATTTTAAGAGCAGAAGTAAATTCAATTCCTATACGATTTATATCAACGATAGGTTTTTGAATCTTTAGAAAATCGGATGCATCATTTTTACAATTTTCAGGAAGTTTTTTTGTAACGAGGATAAATGTTTCTTCAGGATCTGGATATAATCTTAATATGACAGAAGTTCGATGATAATTTGGAAAAACTAGCCAACATAATTTCTCTTTTTCATTTATCCAAATTGTACCAATCTATTTTTATTTTTTTAAAAATTTTTTTTTTTTAAAATTAAAATAATAAATAAATAAATAAATTAAAAAATTAAAATAAACAAAAAAAAAAGAGAATAATTTATAATTACAGATCCATTGCTTTCCGAATTATTTTTAGGTTCTTTGCTTTTAATAAAACTTTTAGTTACGGACGTCACACCCATCGTAAACATTGGATATTCAACAGGATTGTTATTCTTAATCATGGATTCTGCATAACTTTGCGGAATGAAATTTCGCATCCATAATTGATCTATTTTTGAAATCATTGATCTTGTGCGAGTGTAAAATATAATCAAGAATTTAATTGTGAATATAATAATAAGTGTAATCGTAAAGTTTAATAAAAGAGAAAAAGTAAAATATTTAGTTATTAAATTACAAAAATAAATAAATAAATAAATAAATAATGTGAAAAAACTCACAGATAGGTTGAATTTTGACATCTTCCTTCCAAAGGCTTTATGATTACGTTTCCTATTAATTCCGGAGTTTCTCCTTTAAATAAATTACCCGTCCATTGTGATGAACTATTACTTTAAAATTATAATTAGTCAGTCAATATATATATATATATCAGATATGGGAAAATTCTGTGAGATTCATAAAATAAAATAAAATAAAATAAAATAATCAAATTAATCAAAAAAAAAAAAAAATAAAAATTAAATTTATAAATCATCATCTTACTTTTTAGGAATTAAAGGAACTTCAATTAAAGTTTTCAATTCATCATTAGAATTTCTCACATCTGAATTAATATTATTACTAATATCGTAATAATTATTACTATTTGATTGCATTACTGAAAACTTCATAGATTGTAAAGATTCACAATTATAATCATAATTATTGTTATTATTACTACTTGGTTGCATTACTGCCAACTTCATAGTTTGCAAAGTTTCATAATCATAGTTATTATTAAGTTCATTATTATCGTTGTTGTTATTGTTTTGATTGTTATGCTCGCTTAATTGCTGTGATTGCTGATTCGTTGTTGTGAGGTTTTGATTCTGTTGTCTTCTTGGATCATGACTTGCATCATAAAGATTTAGATTCCTTTGTTTAATAAGTTTAGTTTTTACAAAATTTTTAACATTAGGTTGTTGTAAAAACGTTTTCAGCGGTAATAATGATTGATTATTAGATTGAAAATGATGATTAAGATTATTAGGTGAATAAGTTATATTATCATCAGCACTATTTTGTAAAGAAGGTTGAAACAATTCTTTTGATTCCTTTGATTTTTTTATAATTGAAATAGATTCTTGATTATCATGACTACTTATCATTATAGAAGATTTTATAGGGGCATCACATGTGGTGGTTGCGTTAATTGTGGTAGTATTAAATAACTTTGTATTAGATGATGATTTTGCATTAGAGGAAGAGGAGGATGAGGAGGATACACTTTTGTGTTCATTTGGTGACTTTCTTGAAAACTGACTTTTGAGTTTCTCGATAGTTTCTAAAATATGAGAATTTATTATATTTAAGTTTGCGGTTGTCATCGAATTTATGGTGGTTGCAGAATTTAGTGATTCCTTATTTTTATTATTATTGTTACTATTATTTATATATTTTATATATTTATATCCATTAAAAGAAAATGTATCAGAATATTTTAAATGATAATAATTTAATTTAAAAAAAAAATAGAAGAATAAAAATTAAAGCAATACTAACCTATCATATCCAAAAGTCATAATTGAATTTGTTGGTCTTGCTTTTATAACATTATTATCAATTTTTTTATTGTTATTATTATGATTATCATTATTTTTTGTGGTATTAATAATGATATTATTATTGTTGGTTTCTTTAAGTATTATCGAAGACTTACGATTCATTGATATTGGAGATTTACGTTTTGTTGGAATCTTTATCAACGGTTTTTTGACACAACTCGTTTTACTTGATTGAAATGATGTGGATGTTGATCCAACATGTGACTCCTTAAACAATTTAGGTTTCTTTATTTTATTTTTATCTATCGTTGTCAAAGATTCGTCTAATAATTAAAAAAAAAGATATTGTTAATATTATTTAATATTATTAATTAAAATATATATATAAATAAAATAAAAAATAAAAAAAATAAAGATAAAAAAATAAAAATTTACCTGAATCTGTATTCATGATTGAATCATCATCATCACTGTAAACAACTTCTTTTGAAGTATTCTCGGGTAAAATATTATACTTAGATATAATCCTAGGTTTTGATGAAATTTTCTTTCGTTTTGTCATTTGATTTTTATTTTTATTTGATTTAATCTCATGTTTTTCTTGTTCTTCCTCTTCTTCCTCTCTTTCCACTACTTCCACTACCTCCTCTTTCTTTTCTACCTCCTCCAATTCCTCTTCCTTCTCTGTATCCTCTGCATCAATGGAAACATCATCAAAATCTGAAATTAATCTAACCATCGAATGAGTTGAATACTGTTGGTTATTGAAATGTTTTGTTATGATAGAAGATGTAAAAAATGTTAATCGACTTAATTACTAATTATCCTATAAATATAAATTTATGTACATAATATATATTATAAATATAATGTCTAACTAAAAACAAATATACCTCATCAATTACTTTAGGTGTTTCCTCATGTTGTTGAATATAATTAATATTTTTTCCTTTGGGTTTAATTTTTGATTTTGATTTAAATTCTAAAATTAATTGTTCTGAATTTCTTAAGTTACTTCTAGGATGCCATTCAATTCTTTTGCTTGCATCTGCAATAATTGAATAATGATTATGATGTTATGTTATAGATGAATTTAGATAATAATAATTATAAAAAAAAAAAAAATACAAATAATTAAATATATTATATATATATTAATAATAAATAATAATTATAAAGGGTAAAATTTAATAAATTTATTACCTGCATAAGATACAAGTAAATATTCTTGACCATTCATCCATTTTGAACCACATATGCTTGAGATAATTGAGATACTCTCAGAATCAGAAAAATCATATCTATTAAAATAATGATAATAATTAATAATTATAATAGATATAAATATAATTTTAATTAAGAATTTTTTACATTTCACAATCTTCCCAGTATTGCATTTTTTGCATTTTTTGGGATTCTTTTTGGAAAAATAACGATCGGATCGGAATCAGATTTTCTTTTTTTTACTTTCACATTCATGCAGTATGCAGCCATTTATATATGTATATTTTTTTATATTACTAATTGTAAATAAACATATTATATTCCATGATGTTTTGTTACACAAAATTAAAATAATTGAGTATTGATTAATTGTTTACAAAACATCAAAACAATAAAAACGAATAAATAATTTTTTTACTTTATTTATTAATTTTATTTAACCAAGAAAAGAGAAATGAAAAATCGCTACTGTTATCATGATCATTATTATATGTATATATTTGGTATATTTACTCGTTAATGAATTACTTCTTATATTAGATATTTTTCACCTAAAAAAGAAAAAAAAAAAAGGAACAAAGATGGAAGGGATGATAAAAGACAGTGGTTATGTAATCAAGATCAAATTTATCAATTACACGTCTTACGTTTAGCACGATTTTAATAATTACTTACGTAAAACAATCGTTCTTATACTTATAAAATATATTCATAAAAAATATACTCACATTAAAAATTTAACTTGATAAAAAAAAAATACAAAGTAAAAAAAAAATTAATAAAGATAAAAGCATGTTTCATAAGTTTGTGAGAATTTATATTTAATTAATTAGACTCTGTTAAACAATAACAAATTTAGATTTATTTGGAGAAATCATTGATAAAACAAGAGTATAACGAGAAAAAAAAAATAACAGGTAATAATGATAACATTTATATCGAAATTCTTGAAATTTCAAGACAATACAAAAACTGTTATCATGTTATGTAATAATAAACAATCCAGACCGCTTAAATAATTAATATCCGATATCTTTATATTATATTATGGTGACTAAATTTATATTCCCGAGTTAAAGAAATAAAAATTTTTTTTATTTGACTCCTTTTTATTTTAATACTCAGTATTTTCAGAAATTTGTTTAAAAGATTTTTAAGGGTTCAATAAATATTTATATTTATACTTCCGAATTTGTGTAAATGTATTACCTTACACAATTATATCATCATCGATAAAAAAATTATTCAATGTTTATTATTTTATAATTATGTATTTAAATCATTCTTTCAAATCCTAAAAGACTTTCGGTCGATCAATAATACTTTATTATCCAAAAGTTCTGTAACAAAATACCGCTCAAGAATCAAATTTGACTTCTTAAATATATTTATTTTTTTTTTTGGTTTTTAACTTTTAAATATAATAATTAATAAATAAAAATAAATAAATCTATACCTAAAGAAAGAGCACATGAATTTTCAAAAAATGATTTTTTTAAAAAAATACATTATCCAGTCTTTTCGAATTTTCTTATATGCAATATTATCCTCAATATTCAAATTAATACATTTCTTGGATCATTATCTCAAGTTGAAATATTAGAAAATGATCTCTTTTTTGATTGATTTCAATTTCTTTATCTCAATCAATACGTTCTAATAATTCCTTAAAATATCAATCAATAATAATAAATTAAAGATCTATAAATTTTAATTATTCGTTTATCAAAATAACATTATTAATTAAAATTATTTAAATCATTTTGTAACCCATGAATAGCATGAATGCATCGGCTTTATATAAAATGAAGGAAGTTCTTGTTTTTGATATTTAATTGATTTTTCTCAACAATCGTAAAACTGTTAAAAAAATATTTCACTTGGCGTTCAATGCATCATCATTGATGCATTAACAAATTCAAAAAATATTATTATTGGGAATTAGAAATTTCATACATATACATAATTTTATAACTATAAATGTCGCTTTCTGTTATAAATGTATTTCCACGTCACTTAATACTACAGGTGGAATTATTATTCTCAAATTTTAATATTAAACAACCAGAAATTGATATATAATTTAGTTCAAAAAATTCCTATTAAGCTTTGTATGTAGGTTATGATGAACAAAAATTTTTTCATGTCATGTGAGAATAAAAGACCTTTTGATATTTGTTTTAATAAATCTAATTATATTTCCACCTTAAATTCTAAAATTTATTGGCTGAAACTATTTTGTAAATTTTTTGTGGGGTATTTTTTTTTTTTTTGAAATTCCAAAACAATAAGCAGTATGAAGATGTTTATGAATAGTCATATTAATAATCTAAAATAAACAATTTAAATTTCATGATTTTTTTTAATTCTTTTAAAGCAACTCTTTCATTATCTATAGTATGTATATTTATATATCCACCATTACCTATCCTATGATATGCTCAATATATATTTCGGATTTTTCATCCTCCACCCGTTTCAAAAGTTATTAATAAGTTATATAATGGTTGACATTATTTGTTACAATTACCTCGTAATACTATTTATCATTGTACCTAACTTATTGTCCTTCGCTGCGCTCTAGACATTATAATGGACAAGTAAAGTGATACCAAAGTTCCCGTTGTTGATGCATCAAGTTATGATTTTTTGATGCTATGGTGCACCAAGTCTAAAGTTGCGCCACCGCTGAAATTTGTAGGTTAATAGTCAGGTGATTTTCAAGTGATTTTTTAAAGCAAATTTTTGATTTTCGGTTTCGTTTTTTTATGAACCAAAAATTTTTTAATAAATGTGTTGATTTTTGAGTTTTTTTTTTTATGAACAAACTTTTAATAAAAAAAACATATTATCCCACTTCTATGTATTTATTCCAAAGACTTTGAAGGCGTTTTGAATAGATCAGAGAATAATAGAGTCTACTTTATCTTCTTTATTTAAATTTGTCTTAATTTAGCTAATAAAGGATGTCTTGTAACCCTTATTAATTATTTAAGGGATTTAAGGATGATTTATTTTAAATTATTAATTTAACAAAATGTTTATTCTCGTTAACTATGCCGAGATACAACAAATGCTATAGACACTGCTTGGAAATTATAAAAAAGCGTGGAAAAAGCCTCTCCTAATGCTTCCAATATTGAATATGAGGAATTCAACTCTAGCTATATAATTTAGTGTATATACTGAGAATGTGAAAATTATATATTTAAAAAAAGCATACTATGTCAACATTTTCAGATCAACAAGCTTACTAGATAACAGAAATAATTGAGACGTTAATAAAAAGTTTTAATATTATTTGATTTGTACAGATTTGCTTAGTTGTCACTATACAAGTTAGAGTTATCAAAAGAAATGACACTCAGGATTCCATTTGACACAAAAAATATAAAAGAGTATCCCCTAATTGTATCCCTAAAGCAACAAGATAACTTGAAGTGGAAATGTGGCACCTGTATAATTTTAGGCATATTGTCATAATAGCAACTTCAAGGTTCTATTCAACACCAATATTTAGAGTGGAAGAGTACCTTATAAATTATATACAAATCTTGTTCTGTCAAAGACTGAAAAACAAAAACTTGCCTTTGATTTCGATTTCATTAATTTCATTAACTTTCAAATAACAAAAACAAAGATGTATTAATTTTGATTTAGCATAGGAAAAGTTTAGATTTTGATTTACACATTACACAATTATTTATATGTCAAAGTAAAAATAGTAGTGTGTAAATCACTGGTTAAAATTTGACATATCGGGTACTTATCATAATATCCAATAAGTACCTGATATATATTTTTTGATATATATCAGGCACCCAATAAGTATCATCTTATTTCCTAATATCAGACACTTATTAGGAACTTATTGGTCACATATACTACACATATTGGACACCTATTTTTTTTATATCAATCAGGTACTTGATTTTTTTTATTCAATATCAAAGACCTATTAGTGATATATTTCCCCTCTGATAGGTGTCTAATATTTTTTTATCATACCTATCGGATCCTCCGATACTTTTATTTATTACATCTGTCAAGTACCCAATAAGCTTTTTTCAAATAAATTATACAAATTAATAGTTTTATTTATTACTACACAAATTTTATACAATTTTATATAATATATATATAATATACCCAATAAATATTTATTTTTATTAATATAATTATTATTGCATATAATAAATGTAAAATTTAAAATGTTTTAAAAATATATTATTATAATAAAAATATAGAAAATTTAAAATATTCAAATGTCCTAAAAATATATTATTATTATTACTATCATTATTATTACTATTATTAAATATCAAAAGGTAAAAACAAGAGACAAGATAAGTATAAATTTTATTTATTTTTTTTTAAAAAAAAAAACTTACCTTTTACTATACATGCATGAAGCTGATTTTGACAATTTTGATCTCACAAGTATTCTTATGAACTAGCAAAAGGTGAAAAGAGAAAAGGTAAAAGAAGTAAAGAAAAGATAAAGGAAAGAGATATAAGTTTTATTTATTTTAAAAAAAAAAAACTTACCTTTAACTATATATTTGTGAAGTTGATTTTGACAATTTCAACCTTTATAAGTATTTCTATGAACTAGTGAAAAGCAAAAAGAAGAAGGTAAGAGACAAGTTAAGTATAAGTTTTATTTATTTTTTTTTTAAAAAAAAAAAAATCCACCTTTTATTGTATATCTGTAAAGCTGATTTTAATAATTTCGACTTCACAGATATTTCTAGGAACTAGTGAAAAGTGAGAAGAGAAAAGGTAAAGGGAAAAAAGGAAAGGTAAAGACAAGAGATATAAGTTTTATTTATTTTTTTAAAAAAAAATTCACCTTTAACTGTACATTCGTGAAGTTGATTTTGATAATTTTAACTTTCACAAGTGTTTCCATGAACTAGCACTGGTTGAAAATTGATAAAACATACACATATCAGGTATCCAATATGTACATGGTGTGTCCCTAATATCGGACATATATCAGGTACCCGATAGGTGTAAAAAATATTTTATATATATATCGGGTATCCGATAAGTATAAAAAAATATTTTCTACACTTATCGAATACCCGATATATGTCTGATATTAGGGACACACCATGCACATATCGGATACCCGATATGTGTATGTTTTATCAATTTTCGACCAGTGTAG